GAGCGGGAGCCCCGCGGGATGACTGTCCCTGCCTACCTGAGGGCGCTGGTGCAAGCTGTCCAACCTGAATCACTCCATCCCGGATGAGCTCCGAGATTTCGGTGAACTTCATCTGATAAAACATGGGATTAAAAGCGAAAGGAAGCGTACGGTATTGCCTGCGCAGCCGGATATCCATTTCGCGAAAGGTGGGCCACCTCTGCTCAAAGTATGGCTGCCGGATAAGCCAATCGAAGTGGTCCCTCCAACGCTGGACGAAGTCGTCGGCGCCGACCACCGCGCAGAAGCGGAGCCAGTTGTCGGCGGCTTCCCGCCACTGCCCCGTGGAGAGAGCATGTTCGTTCATGAGCGAGATCGCCGAGAGGTCGATCACCCGGACCTTGGATTCCAGTTTTTTCTTTGGCATATCATCAGCACTTTCCATAAATCTGTTCAGCTCCTCAAATGTGAAGATCGAAATGGGAAGATACTGGTTATTCCAGAATAAAATCTTGATTTCCTCGTGGAAGGAGCCTAGACATGCCGGAACGCTTGGGTCTGAAGGGATTTCCCCCACCGTAGTCCGTAGAGCCCGCGGCTTCTTCGAAGACCGAGCGCGGTCCTCATCATCATCCTCAACGTCGGCGGATCTCTTCTTGCTGAAGAACTCCTTGATGGCGCTCGGGTTCTTCGCGATCTCGAAGGCCATCTTGGTGACCGGAGACCAGCGCGATGGCGACCCGATCGTGCTGAGGGATATCTGGGCTGGCGGGGTCTGGGGACGCACTGTCGGCGCTGGTGGCGCAGAAGACGCTCCTCCACCGTCCAGGTCGTCATCGCCACCCGGATGTATCGAGATCAAGGAGGCGAAGGACGAAAGCGTCCGTCCCGTGTCGGCAGATTGGCCTGACACGTCATCAGCACCCTCTTCGGCGAGTAGCGCCCGCTGCTGTCGTTTTAAATCGTTAGCCGAGCTACGGGACACATTCTCGGAGATCTTATCCCGCTCCGAGAGGCTGGACAGCCATTTCGACCAGACACCCGGGTCTGAGGTCTTATGTTTGGGGCCTGTGATTCTCATGGCGCGAAAAAATGAATAGCCGGCGTAAAAATAGTCCTTAGTCACGGCCGAAAACACAGAGAGAGTGGGTTGGAGAATCGAAGAGTGATAGCTCAGGGATGGGGGTTGAAAAACGAAAAAGACGCGGCGTCGAGCCCAGCTGGCGAGCGACGCGTAATGGGGGAAGAAAAAGATGAGGGCGCGCTGAGCCCGAATCGAAGCAAAAGGGTGCGCGCCACATGGCGGACACGTGCTCAGCGCGCGTGGCCCATTCGCACGCTCTCTTAGCTTGGCTCGACATAAGTCTGAGCCGCTCGTGCCTCGCGTCATCCTTGTCCAGCAGTACAAATGTGCTGAAACCAGCGAGTCTGACCCTATGGTCGAGATGGCGGATGCTCGAGTTCCCGGCCATCGGCAGACGCGTCCTCACCAAAGCGTGATCTATTCTCTCACTCACGTGATCATGCAGTCGGGTAGCGACGCGTCTTGTGCAGTGGCTGCACTCTATCGACTACTACGTGCATCGTCTTACGCGCAACTGAGATGGAGCCCTCTAAAGCATCCAATGCTTTCGTTCATGTCCATCGGTACACTACTGTGTTCCAGTTTCAGTGGTATGCAAGTGATCGTTTAAAGCCATACAAGCTCGTGGGCGATAATGTTGGAGAACCTGGTGCTCCAAAGTATTCTGGGCTGTTAGAATCAGCTTGGCGTTTCGGAGTTTCGAGGGATTTTACAGAGCCCTTCACTCTCATGATTTTTTTCGAAGTGAATGACGGATGTAGTTCCCTCACTTTGGACATTAAGGCTAGTGGTTATACGGCGCATTCCAATATCCTCAAAGACTGCGTTGTTGATGTTCGATCCTACCCAACAACCGCACACCTGTGCGCCTATGGCCCTGCAATCGGTATGTATGAGGCATGAATATGGCGCCGACTACAAGACCATTGCAATAACATTTCTTAAAAACAAACACATGCGATGCATCGGGTACGATGGGCATCTGAGGAAGACGCTTGAAACATCTATGTCTACGGGATCTTTCGTTGACACTCGGTTCTTCGCATACTCTCGACACGGGCTGCACGGTGGAGCATGCAAGCCACTCCCACTCTTTGCAAACAGTAAGATCCTCAAGGAGAGATCTTCCTATTTCGAGACACGTACGTGAAGTAAGCATGTTGTGGCAATATATTGATATGATCTCATAGAATGTCCACAGTGCTCTCCACTACTTCAGGATTCTCCGAATCCTTACAAGATGCACTCATTGATTGTTTCCCTTCCGACTATGACAAAGAGGTCACTGATTACGACTACAATTAAGATAGTGATCTGTCGGAGTCGCCTGATTCCGCTGACTTTGAGAAACTCGAAGTCCCTCAGACTAAAGACTTGCAAGCCGCCCCTCTCGGTCGCACCGTGGTAGTTAAAGATGTGGCTTATAAAACGTACGTCTTCAATTAACGTAAGGAAAGCGCGTTCCGATTTTCGTCCCTTGCAGACTCAAAGCTCTTGTTATGTATCTATACACAGGCAAGATTACCTTCGCTCCCCTTAGATCCTCCCAGACAAGTGCAAGCAACGTGCAATGCGAAATCCAGTGTTCCCCCAAATCCATGTATCGTCTGGCGGACAAGGTCAGTAACCCATACGTGTATTTAGCCCACGCAGATATTGAGCCGCTCCATAAGCTTGGAATCGATGAGATCAAGGCCTTGGCACTTGAGGCGATCAGAGCAAGTATATCGGAAGACAACATCCTCGAAGAGTCATTCTCCAAGTTCACCTCTACGTATGTAGTACCACGGTGCCTGTTATTCCCTAGATTGATATTGACGCACAATAGTTACAGCGAAGTCCAAAAAATGGAGGTCGAAATCTTGAAGAGGAAATGCCGCACTCCCCTTGTCATAGCTGGCATGGATGAGTTGATACGAGGAGCGGTCAAGGAAGGAGAGCTACCTCATTCAGATGGAGTTTTCACGGAGCTTTTCAAATACCTCGCGGAAGAAAAATAACAAATGACTCAGAGATGTCCCACTGGTCGCTTTTCGAGGTTCTTGAGGGCACATGTACTGGTTGTGGATGTGCTCATGTATTCACATCGAGGAGAAAGTCTGTATGATTCCGTCGCGGCCTGGAGCATTGTATACATACCTACATGTACGTACCTTGTATGTATATTTTTTCCATAGCTTAGATTATGGAGCTTGAACTAGAATTGTATACTCTGGGTATCGCCCTTGTTGGTTCGATCAGACAGGAAGACTCAAACAGAGGGGTGACGGCGTAGATTCCCTCACAGTACTTCCAACGGTGCACGGTCCGAGAGCCGCTGCCACATACTGTGGTTAGGGTCCATCTAAACTTAGGCCACAAAACACGAAACAATTCCGAACGTCAGATAGCCAGGCCAGGGCCATCACAACCTGTTTCAAAATATCCTCTATTTCTTCTATATAGTGCTCTATATCCGCAAACCCCTCGAAAGTACAAAATAACGCTGCATTCATCACTGTAAAGGGTAGCGTCAATATCACTGCAACTTCGACAATATAGAACCACGTACTAGCGATGCACCACCGCACGTCTTGATTGTCTGGCCGGTGATGTACTCGCCCTCATCCGATACCAGGAAGGATACGAGCTTGGCGACGTCCTCAGGTTGTTGGATACGACCGAGTTTTATGTCGCGCTTGATCCGCAGCGCTTTTGCCTCTCCTAGGGATATATTTTCCTACGTATCTGTCGTTAGCATAAATCGTATTAATTCGTGATCTGTGTACGCACGATCTTGGCTAGCTCGCGGTCGATATGGTCCCACATTGGTGTGTCGACGATACCAGGAGCGTACGCTACACGAGACGAGGTCAGCAACTTTCCTCAACGTGGACGATGTTTCTTACCATTAACACGAATGTCGTATTGTGCCCACTCCTTTGCTGCTGCCTCGGTGAAACCGCGAACGGCGAACTTGGTCGCGCCGTAGGGACCCAGGTTCTCTGTACACAGAATTCGTCAAAGGAGTTCATCAACCAGAAAGGAATATACTAGCCAGCTGTCCGGTACGATGCTATTGATCCAGCACCAACAATACGCCCGCCGAAACCTTGTTTGACCATTTGCTTTGCAGCGGCGATGTGCGTGTTGACTAAGCCGAGAAGGTTCAGGCGGACCTCATTCTCGACGAACCTAATTTACCGCACATTCGATTACGTACTGCGGGGAGTTACGAAGTGACGGGCTTACTCGGGAGTGCACTCGAGAAGGGGCTTGACCTGGGTCACACCAGCATTAGCGACGCTGACGAAGAGCGTGGGCCCAAGACGCTCAATAGTCTCATCGATGGCATTGTAGATTTGTTTTGCATCCCGAGCGTCTGCACGCAGCAGCCCAAGTCAAAACACGTCTGGACTGCTGTTGGGGCAAGGCTTACCAGCGAAGACGCCAATGGCTTTCCGGCCATACCCTTCGATTTCCTTGACAGTGTCGTCGAGCCTACCCTTCGCCTGGGGTATCTCAGCGATAGAGATATCGTAGCCATCCCTCGCAAGACGTGTCGCGATGGCACGACCGATACCTTGTGCGCCGCCCGTTATGAAAGCCGTCCTGCCTAACGCTGCCTTGATGGGTGCTGCCATTGCGAATCACTTATAGGAGAGAAGGTGGGGGTGGGGTAGGGGCAGTAAATATTTCATGCGGGGTCATGGTTCGCGACCATTTATTGAGGCTATCCGGCCCGCTGTAGCAGTCGGAAAATCGGGTATACCGCCTGACGGAACGTGATCCCGGACAATGCACGTGCTCCTAAGTGTTGTTCATGGACGCCCTCCATCAGTTTGCGTTCATCGCGACCAGCGACGCATTCGAAAGGTGAGAAGGACGGTCCCACAAAATAATCACCGGATCATCGCCAAGTGAGCTGGATGTATTATACCAAGGGCCCCTAGCTTCGGCCCTTATAGCTCAGTGGTAGAGCGCATCACTCGTACGTGAGACAGTCATGATGAGGTCCGTCGTTCAATCCGGCGTGAGGGCATTCTTTAACTGTTTCTCAACACTTGTATCTCCTCAACGGTTATGTAGCTTCATGGTGGGGAACACCCACGTGAGCGTAAATCGAACATTACACATGGGACGTCGAAGCTAACCTGGACTTAGCCATATACTATCGAAGATTGGTTGGAAGACATCAAGCTCGCTCATAGGCACGACATGTCAGAACGCTTCATGCCTCACTTTCAAGCACTTTGACCTGACATAGAATCCCCGAATCAGAGATGGATTTGCGCTTAACATCGGCCGGGAGAGCTGGCAAAGAGATCGAGTCCTGGACTGTTATGCAGCAGCCCTTCAGAGTCAACTCCATTTCAAGCTGTTCATCAGCTTTGATATGACGTGCGCCCTCCTCAGAAAACGGTCTCGGACTAACTCTGGTGATGGACTGATCAGTTCGTAGGTCTATCCCGTCGGAACGCGAGGAGGATATTGGCCTACTGCTCGATTATGTCAGGCTTGTTTCACAGCATCCTAACCAATTTCTCTATGACGGCAAGGTGATGATATCGACATTCGCGGGAGAAAACAGCATGTTCGGTCATGCAGATCTGAACCATGGTTGGATGGCCGTGAAGAAAGCGTTAGAGGGCATTAAGCCTGTGATGTCCAATGCTTTCCTGCTGTGTGATCTTGAACTTACGCTAACATGTTTGCAGATCCATCTCATCCCCTCGTTCTTCGTAGAACCAGCCAGACATCCCAAGCTCAAGTGCAGTGACGGTTATTTCAATGTTAGTACTTCGCATCCCCTAATACTTCGCTCAGTACTGGACCGCATTCGCGCATTGTATAGTGGAATGGCGGATGGCCCTTGCATTTGACTCCAAATTCACCCCCTGAGGAGATACGATGTCCCAGGCTTGACACCGATTCCCATCACATCCGTCACCTTAGCGGTAAGACTTTCATGGCTGCTATCTCGCCATGGTTCTTCACGGTACGCCTACTACTTTTAAACTATCCAATTATGGTTTTATGGATCTTTACGGTAAAGCATTACGGTGCAGCTTCTTGGAATAAAAATGTGAGTCTTCATAACTCTCGATGGTCCGAGATCTGAAAATGATGTTCCCCGCTGCTAGTGGATATACCGCGGAGACGACTGGCTCCTCGTTCGCCGATGGGAACAATTGGTCGTAGCTCGTGACAACGTGGACATCGTTCAAATAATATCTTGGAACGGTCGGTCGCATCTATCTTCGCTGGCATGCAGGTTTTGATCGCGTCTACATCCGTCAGACTACGGAGAATCTCATTACATCGGCCCTATCAAAGGCGCACAGCCGAACTCGCAGGCATGGGTCAACGGATACCCCCATGACGCATGGCTCGAGCTCACCTCATACTTTGCGCGAGCTTTCAAGACAGGGAAATACCCTCCAATTACCACAGACACGATATATATCTGGGGTCGACCGCACCCCAAGGATGCATGGGCGCCTGATGACGTTCCTCGTCCTCGAAACTGGGAACTTGTGAGGACACTCCAACCTGCGTTTGGGAGCAAGTGGATTGATATCATAACGCTGCACAGACTGATGACGTCTTCTGGGTGGTCGTTATGGCTACAGCCCCTGCAATCATCACCCTATCATCCGGAAGCGAAGATGCTAAGTCGTTCCAGCTGCATGCAGGTCTGTCAAAGCTCTGCCACCCACTGGTCCCGGGCGGCACTATGCGGGCCGAACTAGGTCGAGATGGTGTTCTTGTCACGAGCTGCAAGCCGGATAGCTTTGAGTTCCAGAGTTGTCCAGTCTTGTACAACTTTAACGCGTTAGTGGCGAAGTCGTTTAGGTCAATACAACATTAGGTAACCGAGTGAGTCTGAGGATCTCATACCATCCGGCGAATGACAGAGAAACTTTGGATTGCATGGTGAGCTTGAGTCTAGTATCGGGAACATACCCTATAGATCTACTTTTTGCTTAAAGTGACTTAAGGTGCGCGGCAATAATAGTCATTGGATGTACAAGTTAATTTAGACTTAGACCTGTCAAGGCAAGAGCACAACAGACGCCTGTTCTCCGGCATCCAACCACGACTACACTGTTACCTGATTGCCTACAATGCCGTGGGCGACATTACTGCCGTGGCTACGCTAGCTTATCGAATTGTGAAGGCCCTCAGTGATCGCGAGAGTGCAAGCCACGAATATCATGAATTTGTGACCGCTGCATGTCGGGTAGGTACTGTATGATATTGCCTGACCATTGTGTATAACATGTGAAGTGAATCGATACTCTAAGAAGTCAACTCAGTTTCACTTGTTGATCTATGCAGAAATTCCACGTCATTGTCAATACGCCTTTCCAAGACCGGTGGGTCAGAGCGGACGATATGACGTTTTCTGTGACAACGGGGGAAAACAATCCTGGATTCGAATGTATGGTCGAAGCATATCGAGTGGCGTCACCCTTCAAATGATGAGCATGGTTCTCACTGGGCAGAGCAACGAGCGGCATAGGTGCCCTCGCTATGGACGCTGCGCTAGAACTGAAGTTATTGTAGGAGGCTGGGTAGAATGGTGAGTAGAAGCTGGAGAATTTGCTTTTACAAAGTAGAGTTTGTGACGCTAAATTTCGTATCTATAGCTCCGTCAATGACGAGGCAACTGTCGGCGGCGGCTTTGAATAATCAGGAAATCTGAGGAATGAGGATTCCTCTGTTTCATGTGGTTTGAAACCAGATACTGAAAAGCATGGAAGACAACATAGCGCCTTAGGCAAAGCTGTCGGTAAGTTACACCTAGAAGATCCGCACTATTTCAAGAGTTTCATGTCTTCCATTGTGTACATTCTCTCAAGCCGTCTCCGCCGTTGAGATACCGCCTCTGTCTTCAGGATCGAAATCTGCCAGTGAGTGTTTTTGATACAATTTACTGTCTTGCGACTGGTGGTTATGTTGTCAGATTGATACACTCTATGTTGGGAACCTTCGTCGGCTACGACGTCTCTCTTAAGTTCGGTGATTGAGAGAATTATTCTTGCAGCAACAAGGTTTCTGTAAGCTGGTCTCCAGGCAGAAGATGAACGGCCCAATGTGTTCTGTCGGCACGACCCCATTTTCCACAGGACCTAATGGTTATTTCGAACATAGTTCGAGGATGAAGACGACGCCACGCTTGCTCCTATGATGACTTGCGTGGACATACTCTCAGCAGCCTCGTCAAAGGAGGCATTCCTTTGCCGTACAGCAAGGATCCTCTGAGAGTTCGTGTTCCTCCAGCGTCACCCTCCATTGAACGACATCCTCGAGCAAGTGATCGTCCATGACGCTCACTCAGACTATGCCACAACTGGACGAGGAGCCAAGAGCGCGTTAAGTGATACTCTTAATGATACAGAGGACCTACCTAAGTGATCTTCTCATGACGGGTGCAGGTCATCAATAGTTGTAGCCTTGAGATCTCTAGCTGTTACCAGTCGTAGAGACGAAGCCGTTAAAATTCCGTGCAGGACTGTCCAACCTCTGCCACGCGCTGATACTGGGCGGCGTCATGCGAGAGGCATGTAGTCCTCGTCGCGGAATGCAAGCCAGACGAGTTGAATTTTCAGACCGACCCGGACGAGTATAGTAATTAAAGTTCCAGTGGTAAATTCGCAATGAAACGAACGACGCAATGCCGAAGCAAACAAGCCTACAGACAACCAAATATGCCTGCAAATCTGATGAAGTCGGTGCACAATCGGATGTGGCCTGCTACAGTGCCGCGCGAGGTAGATGTGGTTAAGAAAAGACGAAGGTGGAGGACCCTATACTAGCTCATCAATCACCAAGGACAGTATCAAGAATAGCCCACGCCGGTCTAACAAACCTTATGACTGCAGACATGCCATGAGGCGTTTCAACCTAGACTGCTTCTTGATATTTGATTTTCGGGGAGATGTCGGGAAGTAGTGGATGGAATATTTGGGATCCGACATGGCCGATGGTGGGGTCAACAATACGAAGGAGAGGCGTCTGCCTTGTCTCGTCTGGATCTCGACTGAATTGCGAGGCTCCTGCATAGCAACATCAACACGCGTGCGACTGTAAGGAAGGAATGGGAACAGCGTACCTCGTCGAACGAAACCTGCTTCTGCATCTCTTCTGCGCGCGACTGCGTCGGAGTCAATGGCCCCGCCGTCTCCTCAGACTCCACATCAGAAATCTTATCGAAGTCAAACCCCTGCTGTGTATCGCTGTAACCCCAGGGCCACGGACGCGTGTGGTCGTCCTTATCCACAGCATCGGCCCAGCAAATGGCAGCAAAGGCGTCGAGGGGCGCAAGCAGTAGTTGATCGTCCAGTTCTTCTAAACAAGAGAGATCGAAGCACAAATCTAGGAGTGTACGGTCAATCCAGTCGGAGAGCGTTACTTCATCGTCGTCCAAGAAACTCAAGACCTCGTTCCGGGGCATCGGATTAGGGTTATTAGAAGTACGGTTGTATAGTTTGGTGTCGAGAGTCAAAGGTGAAGGGACATCTGCGAACACGCTGGTCACAGGGGCAGTGGGCGAGTAGTGCACTGGCTCTTGTACGACTGCAGTGGGGTACTAGTATGGCCGCCCGAAACAAGATCAGCGCTAAAGCAAACGTATCTGCGAAGAAGGACATACATAGTACATCGGTGGCACCGGAAGCCTACGGGATACATAACATGCTGATGTTGATGAGACATTAGTAGACATGGACATTTGGAATGGTAGCGATACAATTTGGGACACGCCCTCAGGAATACGTCGAAAGATCGTCGAAAGATGGGAAAAGTCGTAATACAAGGTTCTGAAGACGAGGGAACAGGGAGGTGACGCTGTGAAGAGAGACGAACAGCGCCGGGCTATATAAGCCATGTATGATGGTGGCCCATGCACATGAGCGCTTGAGCTGTCAAGACACGCTTTTTGTCTTGGGCCTGGCGTTAATTGTCAAGGTCCGGAAGAGATACCGACTCCGAGACACAAGAAGCGCGCGGTCACGTGAGCATCCGAGTGGCGTGGAC